TTTTCCGTTTTCAGCTTAAGCCACTAATAGGCAACCATGGTGAATCAACTCCGGTTCTCAACTTTGTAAACGGACTTTCGGCATGGTTTTTGCTGGAGAGCTTCAGCAGCTCATCTGCAAGCAGTTAGGATTGAGCAAAGCGCAATTATATCAGCTAACGAAGCCAGAGAGAGCAAGAGATAAACCTGATTGACAAGCTTGGGCTCGGCCAAAAAGGGCCATGCACCAGTTGTCAAACAAGGGGTTGCTTGTCATAGACAACAAACGTCACCGATCATGGTGTGTCAAAAGTGGAAATAGCCGCCCAGCTTTAGTTCGCCAGCCTTGTCAATAGATGGCAGTACCATAATATGGGCAGCGGATCGTGCAATTGACGTCACATTTTTGTTATCTGCTAAGAATTGAATGGCGGATCTTTTCATGCAAGAATCAAGTAAATCGGTCCACAACTTTTCTAACAACAGAGATGTGAAGTCAAACACCCTGCCAGAGCGGCGGCGCGGCGGCCGGCGGCAGCCGTTACGCGCCGCCTGGGAGACTGGCGGCGCTGAACGGTTCCGAATTGGCACTGCACTAAAACCTGTTAACTGCTTGGAATAGTTGTTATAGCAAAAAATTCATTCAAGTGAGGAATAACCAAGGGCAGGAAGTATGTTGCTTGTGTGCGTACTATGTAAGCCAAGAAACTGCATTAGCAGATACTCGCTAATATTAGATCCAGCCAAGTCCAAACGCATTCCAGGTGATGTGTTTCTGATGGGTCAACAATATTTATCGTTCGAGGGCGGATACAGTTTTAACAATACAAAAAATATTTTTGCACAGCTCTATTCCTTGAATAATTCTCTACAACGCCTCATTCCTAGTTAAGCGAATTAGCCCACCCTGGTTGAATAAATAAGGCGATTTCGTCACAAGGTCGGGGAAAACCGACCGAAAACGGCCGCGCTCAACGTTAATTTGGGCATGCAGACTCTTAAAAACTCGCATTGGGCGGGTAGGGTTTCCCAGGTATTGGCTCCAAAACACCGTATTCGGCTCCCGAATACGTCCAAGTGACCCGCCTCGTTCCTAGTTAAGCTCTAATTAGATCAAGTGACTCATAGGGAGCGAAAAAAGCGACAAAAAGCATGAATTTCCCTATGGCGGCGGGCTGCCGGGTTGCCAGACGGCGCACCGGCTATTTCCACTTTTGACACACCATGTCTAGCTAAAAACTAGCTAAACAATAGATCAGGATTATCTACAAAACATCAGTCTACTTTGCACCACTATCTTCGACAAAATTTTGGAATTTGGGGTCCTTCGCCAGAAAAATATGCGAAAACTACGGGGAAAGCAGCGCAAATCACTACAATTCATCCCAAAAACATAACATATACAACAAACCAGTATATTGAGGCACACTTTGTGGTCTAACGAAGGTATTATGTCATTTGAACCGCCCGAAAAAGGCTTGTGTGAACGTCAGATGGCTACAACGCCCCAACAGCAGAGACGGCCAGGCACCAGTCGAAAATCAAATTGTGAGACATTTTGAGCCACCGTGCACTCATTGGGCTTGATATGATGGCCCAAAGACAACCGTTAGCACAGGGTACTACTGCGGTAATATTCTACCAGTGCGAAAACTGGATGCCATGAACCAAATGGCCATGAACGGGTTTGTTTTGGAAACCAAATCTGTTGGAAGCCAAAGGTTGCGCAATGTTCAGACATGGAGCTTCTCCACTCCAGATGTAAAAAACGCAGCAAAAGTGGCGTATGCAGAAATTTTTGTTTTGGGGGATAATACCTTATGGCCTGGGAACACTTTGATGTCAAGTTTATCTTATATGATCGTATTATCCTCCGGCAAGAGGTCAAAGAAAACAGGCCTACACCCAGTTTCGAGAGACCCGTAAAACAACTGAGACCAGCAATGGCTGGCATTTTCCATCATTGTCGGCTGATCTTGTAACAAGCGTATCTATTGCATGTGCTATTTCACAGCCACCCTAGTTGACTATAGGGGAAGTTGGGGGAACGCCGAAGACTTTTTTTCTGACGCCCGTAGCACGCAAGGTAGACAACATACGCTATTCTTGTTGGCGTCATTCGAGAGGCCAGTCTTTTGCCTTTCAAACGTACCAGGCGCATTTGATGAATTCGCATACCATTAAGCGCACAAACTAAAAATATCAAAGAAGTGACTTTTTCGGCGTTGCCCCGGACTGCGGGGAAAGCCGAAAATGGGAGAAATGATCTACGGGGAATGCCGACATTGATGTTTTGCCATTTTATCTCAAACTTTATCCAGAATTCATCAAAGCTGACACACGTTTCAAGAGCTTGAGGACGCGGTGCACACTGGAGGTTATAATTGTGTGATATAATAAGAAAATGCCAGATAAATCATTCCTTAAAGGTAACAGGCCGTTGTGTCGGTTGAAAGTGTAATTTGTGTGGCTAAAAATACGCGTTGCTATTCTACAGCAGTAAAGTCCACGTGGCGTGCTTTTAACACGTGCGTAATCGCACGTTTTCGGCATTACCCCAGCCAGCCATACTTTCATTTGCAGGCCCATAACTTTTCAACGTGCTGTATAAATTTCAAATAGGCAGCACACTTATGCAAAGACATGCTAAAGATTACTTGACCGAATTGGCCAGACAAACGGTAGCATAATGAGTAAAAAATGCAGCTTCAAAGGCGCATGTAGTACAAGGGAAAAGTACCTTGAAAACGCTCTTGGCGCCCTCACAGTCGAAGTATTCCGAATGACGACTCGTAACAAACATGCGATAATTGTAGTCACTTAAGCTTCAGAGCATCACTGACAGGTGGCATCCATGTCTTACGGTTTTCGAAATATCTCGAATTTCGGCTTTGCCCCAACTCCGGCATTGCCCCAACTTCCTAGGACGGTAAAAAGAAAAAAGCGCAATCATGTTTGCCTTATTTTATACGCTAATTAACAATGTCCGAGTAATTATGGGACACCCTGTAAGGTCTGGTCACCAAGTCAAGTAGCGCTGCCTAAAAAAAATTGTGGCCCTTTAACCGTATAACTTATTTCCTAGAAGTTTGAAATTTTGTGTAGTGCAACTGGAGGACTGCGGGGTCGGAGCCGGAGCTTGACAGCTCGTCAGCTTGACTTGACAGATCTGGCCAGAGTAGGAGCTGGAGTCACCGAAGTCGCTTGTACTTCGACTCCGAAGTCAGAGTCGACATTCTCTGGTTTGAAGTCATGCTCTTCACTGGTTAGTCGAAGTATATGAAGCCGTTTTAGCCAGTCGTATACGGCACACGTGGAATTCGTGGATGACGATATAAAAATCAGCAGTTTCCCAAGGACGGGTGGGATAAGAGCTGGATGTTCTGCTGGCCGTTGTGACTGGTGGACGGTGGTTGTATAGGGGTCAGACCAATAGGTATAGATAGGCCCACACTGAGTTTTAAAACCTCCTGGACCCTCTCATACCACACACCGTTCCGTCAGTTCTATCCTCAGGACAGTCAGTCAAATCCCTCTCCTCCACGCCTAAACCCATTGTTCCGGACTGGACGGGCAATTTTTCCCATGCGGGAACGCCCGATAAGAGCACGACCGTAACGTAACCGGGTGCGGTGAGTGTTTGCGGGGCTGGTCGGCCTGCCCTTGGACGGTTTCAGCCCCGGCGATTCACCAGGGTGCTCGCTCAGACCAATGTCTCCCCCTAATTCCTATCATCCTTCCGGCTCTGAAATGGTCTCGTCAGACCGAAAAGACCATAGCCCAATAAAACAAATCTCACGCCGTGACGAGTTCCTCTCACACCAGTATCAGTTCCCCTAAAGGCCATGGTAAACCCCTTCGGCTGTCGTTTTGCCTAGCACGGGAGGATGACTGTTTGACTCATTTGAGAGTGCTTGAGTATTGTGAATATTATAAAATGTGTGGCTTATGCAGCTGTCACCCCACCCAGAGACTTTGGGACCGAACTTCAGCCCTTGGTGGGTGTACATACGTTGTACCTGAGCCGCTGAAGTGCCTGAGGTCATATTTGTGTAGGTACGGTCGAAATGACCAGCATCAGTATTCTTTTAAAGAAGCTTATTTCTGTTTACATGGCTCCATTGTGAATGACCGTCGCAAAGAGTCATTTTTTAAATATGTTATGCAGGTGATTTTTTTGGAGAGGACGTCCCCCCGGATTCCTCGACTGGGGGGACGCGTTCCCCGTCCCCGTCCCCCCGCTTTCGACGCCCATGTCGCCGTGCACGAGCACGAAGTCAGTCGCCACCGACGTGAGGCGACGCGATCAGTAGCGGCTATGGACGCGATCCAGCCGCGCCGGGTGTTCGCCGACGTCCTATGACGTCCGCGCAGGGTGGTGACCTGACGTGTAACGTCATCGGAGACCTCAAGGTCAATGAAATTAGGTCTCGCGCTACAGCTTTTCCAGAGCTATCAGACGCCGTTTAAATTTTGACAATCGGCCAAGTAGTTTCGGAGGAAGGGGGCTATGAATAGCCCCTCCCCCCAGTGGGACGCATTATGAAACTACCCCAGTGGCAAACCAATGAACTATTGAGTTTGAATGCACGACAGACAGGTATGCTTTTACGATCGATCCACTGCGTCAATTTGGGCTGACCGCTTCAGTACACTTGGGGGTTTTCCGTTCAAATCACGACACACGTGTTGAGCCAATATCTCCCGGTGACGGAGAGGTCACGACCTGACCGACCCTGAGGGGGGGGGGGGTCACCAGCTGTATATAACGCTAGCTAATGGCTAGCAGAGACACAGACCTCACCCACCCACCAGCCGAACAAACATGTTCAAGGTAAGGTACTGCAACAGTGGCATGTCTTGACGAGGTACCTACTATCTGCAACCGCAGTTCACGATACAATTACAAGATACCTAAGAAATACGGGAAAATCTGCGAAGCTACAGTTTATTACATTTGACGGATGATGTGTTATATTTCAATGCTTCAATGGCGTGCTAACTCCCAGTAAATGTTTTCAGTTTGTCGTCCTTGCGGTGTGTGTGACCCTGGCCGCTGCCGGAGGAGGCTATGGGGGCGCTCAGAGCCACGCCAACGTCGAAATGTGAGTGAGAGTTTGTCAATTATTCTGGCTAGATTATATGACAGCTTTATATTCTTCAATACGGCGTCGGCAGCTGTATTTGTTTTACCTAAATGCGTTGCAAAAGCTATTTCAAATTTCTTATTTTGAAATCGAATCGAATTTTGAAATTCAGTTACATGTAGTTTTAATAAATATAGCCTAAAATTAATCTTCGGAAACCATATATCTGTGTGCGTGTAAGTACCCTCATAAGTCGTATGCACGCTGAACACTGATACATAACGTACGAATTAATGTTTTTTATTATTTTTCAGCTACAACGCGTGGGGAGGTGCTAAATATGGTGTGAAAAATCAGCACGCAGTGAAGGTGTAAGTAACGAGTAGTTCAAAAATTTCAATTAAATTATAAAAATATACGGCATAGATCGTTGTCAATTTTCTTGCATTTTTCTCAAGGCGGTTTGTCATCATTTTGAGTACATAAAGTGCTTTTATTGTCGATTACCACTGTCTTCAAAAGCTTCAGTTCCAAGACTTAAGTTTAATGGATGTAGGTATACACTATACATCAATATAAGAAATAATAAAAACTAGCAGGCATGGAAAAATATATGTTGAAGGCGACACATTGACATCAATGTCAATCCTTTTCCCTCTAGAGGCGGGCACGGCGGTGGAAAGGGTTACGGCGGAGGATACAGCAAATTTGCCGGCGGAAACGCACAGATCTACGCCGAAGGACACGGCTCTGGTGGATCCGGATACGGCGGTGGATACGGTGGATACGGCGGTGGACACGGTGGATACGGCGGTGGACACGGCGGATACGGCGGCGGATATTCCTACAAGTACAGCGCCGATGTCGGACACGGTGGATCCGGCGGATCCGGCCATGGGGGCGGACACGGTGGATCCGGCTATGGAGGCGGACATGGCGGATCCGGTCACGGATCTGGATACGGGCACTAAGGTGTTTCCCGTCGCTATATGAGCTCGTGTTTGCATGTTGCGGTAGTGGTTGTCCGTTGTCCTGTGTTTGAGCTGAGCGTCTATAAATGTTTGTAGGACATAATACACTACGAGTGGAACGCCGAAATTTGGCTGCCTTCCCCGGGACCGGCGATATAACGATTTTGTGATGCGTCAAACGAAGATGAATAAAATACCTACATCGAAAGCGGTCTATATTTATAGAGCTTGGAAATGGTTTAAGAGTTGGGAAGGCATATACAATATACATATAAAAGAAACAGCGACGAGAGAAAAGCCTAAATATAATGCCACCACTAACAACCAACTTTGGAATAATTTGAGCATTTTCCAGACACCTGGGGCATTCCACGATCGATCGTACCACTTTTTCCAATTTGACACCCTCATCTCTCGGAATTTGACGAGAATTGGTCTCAGGGGTAATCAGGGGCTCTGAATCCCCCTGTAACAATTTCAGGCTTATCAGATAAGTATTTTTTTAGTTATGATGTATAACATTTTTTGGATCTTGCTTTGCAGCGCTAAGTTTGGCGGGCTGTAACTCTAAGACGGATTATTCAAATGCCAAATGTTATATAACATTGAACTTGCAATGAAACAGAGATTAATATGTATTTATGAAATTTCGAAAAATACGCTATTTTTGATATATGACATATCGAGTTTTCTTTCATTTGTATTTTTTGGACTTTGGGACCAAATTTTTTTGAATCTTTATTTCTTTAAAAAAAATATTTGGCTCATTGTTAAGAAGTATGCGAAAAATTAGGAAGGTGTTCTTTCTATAAATGTATTTATTTTACGTCACGATAACGGTTTCGAATAGTGATTTCGGGAGGGGAGCTTACAAATGGCGTGGTAAAGCTGCCTAGTGACATCACGGGTTACTGAAATTTCAATTCAAGTCTGAGTCATCTGAAAAAGTGAAAAGAGCCCTCTCAACCCCCCATTCAACCCTCTTTCCTATAAGCGCGAGGGTGAAAAAGGCTGTTTTGGTTTTGATATTGTTTTGGACGCCAATGACCATAGCTGTCCGAGATGAAAGTTACAGGACGCATACATGGTGTCTTCCAGAGGTCTCACAACTTGTAAATCTGGGAATTTTTCAAGGTTACATGAGATCAGGTCAGGGCCTATTTTAACATGTTAACTGGGGGGGCAAATGCCCCCGCACTCAAGAGAATTACCCCCCTAGTCGTCGAGATTTGCCCACTATAAAAATGGGCATAAAGGAACAGGGTGACAAACATACCTACTACGTAACTACTGTGACTTGTTTTGCAATGGATGTCAAATGAGTCAGTCTGTAAGTAATGACCAGTGGTGTATCTAAGGGTGGGTCATATGGGTCATGACCCCCCACCCTCTTGGGGCCCGGGGACACCACAGGCCTGCCAGGGGCACCACCGGCCTGTCAGGGGCACCACAGGCCTGTTGGGAGCACCATCAACCTAGCAAGAGCACCATAGGTCTGCCAGGGGCACCACAGACCTGCCAGGGGCCCCACCGGCCTCGCAGGGGCACCACCTTGGGCCTGTCAGGGGTACCACCACAGGCCCGCCAGGGGCACCATAGGCCTGCCAGAGGCACCATAGGCCTAGCAAGGGCGCCACGGACCTGTCAGGGGCACCAGAGGCCTAGTATGGACACCACATGCCTGGCAGGGACACCACCGGCCTCGCAGGGACTGGGACACCTTGGGCCTGTTAGTGGCACCACGTGCCTGTCGGGGACACTCCAGGCTTGTCAGGAGCACCACAGTCCTGTCAGGGCCCAGGGGCACCACCGGCCTCACGTGGACACCACCGGCCTCGCAAAGGCATCATGGGCCTGTCAGGGGCACCACGGGCCTGTCGTTGGAACTTCAGGCTTGTCAGGGGCACCACAGTTCTTTCAGATGCACCGGCGGCCTAGCACCATGGCACCATGTTTGGCCGAGGTCGCGATTCGGCGTACCTATGTCGCCTCGCATTAGCCGCGCGTTTGCAGTCTTTTCGTGGTTTCAAACGTTCAAACATGGGATATGATGTTGCTCCCATGCTTTAGGGTGGGTGTCAAGATCACCGGAAGGTCAGGTCAGATCATTTACCTTTGATGACCTCGGTTCACATTTTCGAGTTTTATATGTTTCTAGGCTAGTTTTTGGAGCTGAATTCGAATTAAGCAACCATTTGACCATTTACGAAGTAGTTTTGGTGCCTTCGTAACATGTTACGAAACTGTCAGAGGCGGTTGCCACCTACTACGAATACCCGGCAAAACCCTTACTGGTTGACCTGACCTGACCTGACCTGGCCTAAATGCATGAAGACATCATCTATGATCATAACTAACATGATATTCGTGATCACCACCCCGAAAAACCATAGCAGCCACTCTTTACGACGCTCTAACAGGTCCCGATTTTCCCGACTTTTGGGTCAATGACCTGACCTGGAAGGTCAACCGATGACCTAGGACCTTAAAATTGGGTATAATCGGCTTCCTTTCATCACGGGCAACACGGTCGTTTTTTCCGCGAAGCTCTAGCTCGATCAGGGGCGAAACGGCAAGGGGGAGGGTCCAACGGACCCCCCCCCCCTATACGCTCGCTACTGGAAACACCAATACGGGCGAGGGTTAATGGATTATTAAAGACAATTTTCCAGGTTGCCCCCCCAGTCAAATTCCCTTAAAATAGGCTCTGGATCAGGTCGGTCACGTGACATCACTGTTATAAATCAATGGGGAAATATAAAAACTGTTATTTTCAGGGGCGGCGCTGACCTATTGAAAGTAGGTATAAGGTAGGCACTTGGTAGGTAAGGCAGAAAGGCTGAATACGGAATAGGTAAAGGGGGGGAGGGAGACAGCCTTATTGCTTAGTCGGGATGCGTCAAGCAGCGACAGCAGCGTCATCTACAAAAACCATCAACTTAACTAGAGCTTACACGTCTGCCGCCAGAGGCAAACTAGTCTCTCAGTAGGAGTCTAGTTCGTTCAATATAATTTTTAAGGAACAATAGAATAACACAACAAGCATAACAAAGCTACGTACGCTGAACTTATGATAAAAATTGATAAAGTAAAATGTGCTTTATTTTACGATACATGGACATATTAAAAAAGTTAGGTTTGAGAGTTGTAAGGTAGCACCTAGTCGATGTGCCGACCATCTAGACCTTTTCTACCAAAAGGCTCAATAGCCTCAGCATGGCAATAGTCGATAATCTAGTAGGACGAGGTAGGCACAACTTAGGCAGAGGTTTTCGTCGAGGTTTTTATAGTATGATCTTTATGTGACGTTTTTTGAAAAGTTTAGGAAATTCTCTTTCGTTTCAATGCATTTTGAAAAACGAGAAACAAAAGATTTTTAACAAAAGCAATCAGGCAAACAAAAGCCACGATATAGTGATGATTTAGACGCAGGGGAGACGGCAATTGACGTAGGCACTGCCTACCTTGCCTATATGGAGAGCCGCCCCTGGTTATTTTGGCGCCGAGAATGATCTAAAACTATCCCACGTACATGGTATCGTGATTTCATGCACTCCTTGCAAAGTCCAATGCTTTACTTTTGCATTGTTAACCTTGCGTGACGTCATTTATGACGTCACTAGGGTCGTACGAGTTTTTCGTCAATAACTCCCGATCAAATAGAGCTAGAGAGTCGGGAAAGCCACCAATGGACTCGGGAAGACCTTCCGAATCGAATGATATGCCATATGATACCCTTTGCCCAGCTTCGTGACCTGAGGGGCTCTGACCTGACCTTGACCCGAGGTCAACTACTTAAGTTGACCTCACCCTAGCAAAAAGTATACCATTCGACGCACCTGAGCTAGGCGAACACAATGATGCCAAAATCGCGACTCTGCGGCCATTTTTGCGAAGTTATTTACTAAAAACCGAACCCGTAACTTCAGTCACGTGACCTGACCTCAGGCGCTACCGGTTAACCTGTGACCTTAAAATCGGGTACCAATCGCTGCGAATTGTAACGGCACACACGCCCGTTTTTTCCGCGAGGCTCTAGCTCTATTAGAAGCGAAACGGCGTGCTGACTGCTGGGGTCGTATCAACCCCTCCGAAACCCATTTTGTTTGCGGGAAAATGAGGAACTTATAGAAAGAACACCTTTCTAATTTTTTGCATGTCGATTTGCAATGACATGAAGATTATTTTGAAAAACTAAAAATGTGAAAAATTTTGGTCCCAAAAGTCATTAGAGGCAAATGAAAAAAGATTAAGGTTTTTGCTCAACAATGAAATTTTTTCTTTGGAATTTTTAAATAGTAATATTAATTTTTGATTCATCGCAAGCTTAGTGTTGTTTACTTTTTGTTGGTTGCTTAACCCGTTCTTGAGTTATAGGCCATCAAACTCACCGTTACATACCGAAGTTAAAAAATGTAATGCAATATAACTCAAAAACTTTTGATCTGAGAAGTCTGATATTTTGCCAGGCGTCTTTGGGGCCTATATAACCACCCCTATATATATATATAACCACCCCTAGGACCGATTTTCATTAAAATCTGAGAGATGAGGGTGACGGGCCTGGTACGATCTATCCACGACAAATCGACAAATAAAAAATTAAATTTGCACCCTCATATTTTATTCTTCGTTGAAAACTGGTGTAAGTGGTTGTGATAGGCGGGGAAGCCAGCTGTGGCAAGGATTTTTTTCTTCGAACAACGGTTTCCGAGATATAGCCTCGGGCAATTCCTGGAGTTCGCGCTGCAGCCCTATGTTTGGCGGCCTATAACTCAGAAACTATTGTTTTTTTTACAATAAAAACTTTATATGGTTCAACTCACAATCAACCAACAAACATTTTGGCTATCTCGGATTTTCAATTTTTGAAAATTTTGATCACGTGACCTTTTGTCCTATTTTTCGAAGAGTGACCTTGATATTGACCCCACTGAAAGTTGCAATTTTGTCTGATGACGATTAAAGCCTTATCGATTGTCATTCATATGCGATAATAAAAAAAGTGGTTATCGCCCTGCGTTGACCTCAGGTCAGGTCATTTTTATGACCTGTCCATTATTACGAGCGGGAGCGACAGCGAGATCTCGAGAATAAAGCAAGATAGCGACAAGCGGTAAACGGTAAAGGGTACACACGGATAAGGTCTATAATTTTTACTGAGGTCATTTTCAGGTCAGGTCAAAGATGACGTCACAGGAGCTAAAAGGTCAAAATAGCGGCACTATACATATATATGAAGTTTTTCTCGAATAACTTTCAAGGTATCCCAGCTAGGAACAAA